AACAGTGGTCGGATAAAGAGGGATTCTGTGGGAACACCACTAAATGTTCAATTTCAATACCATACACCAAAACAAGGTCAAGGGTGTGGTTAAAACAGTGAGTCGGTTCATGAACACTCTGAGAGAAGCCGATGGAATCTAACAAAGAGATAAACGCAGTACTGAAGCTGTCATTCTCAACATCTACATGAATATTAAAATCCCCTACAATAATAACTTTGTCCGTTTTAAGGACTAAAGTTGACAAAAACTCTGCAAATTCAGATAAGAATTCAGAATACGGGCCAGGTGCTCGGTACACTATAACAAAAAGAATTGGTTGCAGTGATTTCCAACTTGGGTGCGAAATACTAAGAACAAGACTTTCAAATGAGTTATAGTTTAGTTTAGGTTTAGAGCTGATTAATAGGCTAGAGTCGAAGATAGCTGCAACTCCACCTCCTCGGCCTGTGCCTCGAGGAATGTGAGTATTAATATGACTGGGAGGGGTGGATTCATTTAGGCTAACATATTCTCCATCACCCAGCCAGGTTTCAGTAAGACAAAATAAATCAATATCATAATCTGATATTAGTTCATTTACTAGTACACCTTTAGAAGAGAGAGATCTGATGTTTAAGAGTCCACATTTAACTCTCCTATTTGTTTGCACTATTGCTCTTGTGGTTTTAATTTTATAAGGTTTTTATGCACAGCTCCTCTTCTGTTTACCTTTTTAAATAATTTCGATGGTCGGGGGACAGACACCGTCACTATAGGGTTTTCACTAAGTAACTCCTGAAATGGAGGAGCAGAGAAGTGTGTTAGACTGCGACTCTGCGTAGGGTTTTGGGTGGGTAACTGCTGAAAAAGAAGGGCAGAGAAGTGTGTTAAACTGCGACTCTGCCTCCTGGTCTCAACTCTGGGTTGTCATGGATTTGGTCCACTAATAAACTTGGCCAGATTTCTAGAAATGAGAGCTGCTCCTTCCCAAGTGGGATGGATGCCGTCTCTCCGGATCAGACCAGGTCTTCCCCAGAAAGTCTGCCAATGATCAACAAAGCCCACATCGTTTGCTGGACACCACCTCGACAACCAGCGGCGGAATGACGACATACGGCTATACATGTCATCACTGGTCAGATTTGGCAGGGGTCCAGAGAAAACTACGGTGTCCGACATTGTTTTTGCATATGTACACACCGACTCAACATTAATCTTAGTGACCTCCGATTGGCGTAACCGGGAGTCATTACCGCCGACGTGAATAACAATCTTACTGTATTTACGTTTATCCTTAGCCAGCAGTTTCAAATAAGACTCAATGTCGCCCGCTCTGGCCCCAGGGATGCACTTAACTATGGCCGCTGGCTTCGCTAAATTCACGTTTCTCAAAATGGAGCTGCCAATGATCAGAGTTGGTTTCTCAGCGGGTGTGTCGCTGAGTGGGGAAAATCTGTTAGAAACGTGAACAGGTTGATGATGCCCCGTGGACTTTGAATGCTTACTATTCCTCCTTCGGACAGTCACCCAGCCCCCCTTTCCTGGCTGCACAGGGGATGCCGGAGGACGGCTACCAGAGGCTAACTCAGGCCGTTCCGCACCGACTACCGGGGACTGGCTAGCTACAGTAGCTAAAGACTGATCTACCAGGGTGCGGAGCCGGACTTCTAACTCACTGAGCCTCGCCTCCATGTCTATAAATAAACTACACTTATTACATGTACCATTACCGCTAAAGGAGGCAGAGGAGTAACTAAACATCTGACACACCGAGCAGGAGAAAGTAGGAGAGAGAGAGGGAGAAGGAGAAGCCATCGCTAGCTGCTAAGCTAAAGTCGCTAACGGCTAAGCTAAAGTACTGTAGCGTCAGTTACCAAAACTTTAGAACAACTATGAGATTGAACAGCAGTCACTAAAAGATGGAAAGAACTGTGAGTGCTTAGGCAAAATTACTGTAAAGAATAAGTGTTTAGCGAACAGTTGGCCGCTGTAATCTAACAAATGTAACTGTTATTTAGCGAGAGCAGCACAACACGGTACCAACACACAAGCACCGGAAACGGAAATGAGTCGACACGCTTACCGCAATACGTCAGCACGTCAGGTTTGTTTCCAGTGAGATATTGAGCTAAACAGTGCTTTGGTGTTGTAAACGTTGCTTTTGTTACTGCTCTAGAAAGATTTAGTTATAATAAAATATTGTAATTTAATCCTTGAGCTTATTAGTTTACATCTATGACACCCTTTGTCCTTTTTCTGATTCATTTACTTTTATTATTTATAAAGATTAAACTTGAAAATGATCTTCAGTCTTGTTATTTGATAATGGTAATAAATATAATAAAAAATATGCTTAAAGACATTTTAAAATAAGTTTTGTATTGGACTTTTTGACACCAAGATTTTCATTTTTACAGCAAATTTATATCAGCTCCAAATATCGATCATTAGTCTCCTCAATTACTAATAATCGGTGTCGATATTGGCCCTGAAAAAGTCACATCAGGGCATTGCTACACTTTGGGCCCATTTGGCCACCTTGTTTATCTTTTGCAATTTACAATCTTCTTCCTATCTAGGGCTACAGCTAACAATGATTTTAGTATTCGAAGCTTCTATAGATTAGTTATTTCAACGATTCATCAATGTGTCGTTTAAGAAGTAGGCCTACTTTTGCTTGGTTGTGGTGGTGGCGGCACCTGAGCTGGAGGTGATTTAAAAGGTGCAGCTCCCGACACCCAGTTAACTCATGACTGTGAGGTTACAACTCATGGCCCAAAAAGAAGAACAACAAACGCAAGTGTGTACATTTTTAGCTAGGGACGGCGTATTGCTTTGGCTAGCCTTCAACTCAACAATCAATCGTGATTTTAGTTAAATGCTAATGTTGCTGTTACTGTTACCTTGTTTGTGGTCCGCTGGCAGAACACCGGCTGCTTTCTGATAAGGTGCCATCGTGCTGTTGTCGAGGCGACATAAGTTTTGTTTTACGGTGAAAAAATGAACAAAAATCCCAATCCTTTGGATACTTTCTTCTTTGTCCCTCACTATTTTCTCTCTAATCCTTTGCAAACAGCGCCATTATATTCACATTATGTTCACAGCGTAAGCGTGATGTGCGACAGTAATAAATGTCCCCACGAAACACTGTGCTGTATGGTTATATGGATTAAATGAAGCATCGATGCAAAGAATTTGCGTAGATTAATTTTATTTATCGATTTTATCGATTTAATAGATAAATCATTTCAGCCCTATTCCTATCCTCACACTCTTCTCACTTTATACTTAGATATACCTCATTTCATTCCCTTTGATTCATAACATGTTCTGAAAAGTAAGTAAAATATCCTTATCTAGCAGCTTTTTCATGGTGTAGATCAAGTGAAATGGTAGTGCTGATCAAAGACTGGTAAATGACATGGTCACATAATATCTCAACATAATGAGTTGAGGAAACAATAAATAACTCAACTTCACACAATGGATTGTAGGATACTGATGGACTCTGCTTGTGTCCTCCAGACATGCAGAATACTTCATTTCTTGGCCACATTTGAAAGAGCCTTTGAAATATTGCAGACTTCAGAAAATGCAGCCTCTGAATTGCAGAGTAACCAAGTCCCAGAGGATGCCTCTCATCGTTTAGAAGGTCAAGGGGGGGGAGAGCTCAAAGAACAGGAGATAAGATAAGCATTGTTGGCCAAGCGTTTGACTGGATTTGCTAAAGTTCATCTAATTTTGTCTGAAAACATTTTTGCCTCATTAGAAAAGATTTTGGTAGGGAGGAGAAACTCATATTAAACATCTCTCCTGGCTGCAGACAAGGTGAGACAAAAGTGTGCATTTTTTAACCAGAGAGCATGGGGAGTTATGGCTGTATGTGCTCAGTGAACTTGAACTTGAGTTTCACTGAGCGACTTCTGCACTATGATAATTTAGATTTTTTAGTGAGATATTTACACTCAGGTCATCAGTACTGTTTATTACCTTATGAGTGTTCCTCTTAGTACATTGCTTTCCTGCATATTAATGTATTCGTCCATCCTACATTTGTAACAGTGGATGTGCTTCGTCATTAATCTAAATGTCCTCCCAGTCGCCCAATTCTGTCTATAGGTATAGTAGGTAGGTTTATTGTCACAATATAACAAGTTATAGAATGAAATTTTGAAAAGTTTTGTAACTCCCTTCTGCTACATAGAAGGCAATATACATAAAAAAAATAATCAATTATGAAAAATGGTAAACATAAATAAACTATCATCACTGGAACAGTGCTGAGGAGGATTTAGAATTTAAGAGTTTAAGAATCTGATAGCTTGGGGGGAAAAAGCTGCTCTGCAGAATGGTGGTACAGCAGCAGAAACTTCTTTAACAGGCTGTGGCTGGGTGGGTACTGTCCTTTAGTATTCTTTGGGCTCTGCGCAGGCACCTCACAGATATCACTGATGCTCGGGAGATGGGTACCAATGATCTTCTGAGCAGTTTTAATCACCCGCTGCAGAGCCCTCCGGTCCTGGGCCATGCACATCCCATGCCAGTTTTTTGATGTTTCCAGTCAGGATGCTTTCTATTGCTCCTCTGTAAAAGCTGACCAGAACTAGGAACGGGAATTTGGCCTTCTTAAGATTCCTCAAGAAATACAGTCGTTTCTGAGCTTTCTTCACCAGCGTGGAGATGTGAGATGACCATGTCAGGTTCTCTGTGATGCTGATTCCCAGGAACTTGAAACTGTTCACCTGCTCCACCTCTGCTCCACTGAAATAGACAGAGTGTGTGTCTTTATCTCCTTCTTCCTAATACAGTTTGGTGCTATGATCTACTGTAATAGATAGTCTGGCATGCAGCAGACATATGTCATTTCATCTCCCTCACACTGGTTTTAATAGTCATTTAATACAGTCTGATGGGGTCAGCTATGTGACATGATGATTGCTTTGTTCGGTGTGTAATAATATCAATGTCACTGTTTTCCGCTCATTACTTCACTCATCTGTTTTTTCTAATTTTTCCAGTGTGTGCCAAGGAGCAGTGTTCAACTGTACCTCTGAGCTATGTGATGGTGAGTAATGCTCTGTCGCAGCTGTTCTCTTACTGAGTGCATTTCTTGCACTTTAAAGGGCCTCTCTGGATCAGTTCATTTTATCAATCTCAGCCTACAAAGGCCATTACTGTTTTTTGTTTCGTAAACATGCAGAAAGAGCTGAAAGATAATGGGGAGTACAGTGTCAAAAAGTGTAACCCCTCATATCCAGAGATGCTCACAAGTCACTGAGATAGATTCCAAGTCAAGTCTCAAGTCTCTTGCGGTTATAATGAATCATGTGTCATCTGCTGCGTTCAAACCAGGCTGCTGATAAAACTGCTTCGCTGTAAGGGATTCTGTAACTGTAACCTGTTTTTCATTTACATTGCACAACCATGTAATGTGCAATGCAGTTAATGACAGCTTATTAACTACTGTAAGTAAACACATCCCCAGACTCTCAAACCAGTCTAATGTTATAACAATAATAATAATAACTTTGATTTATATAGCGCCTTTCACAAACCCAAGGACGCTTAACAAACAAAAGAGGTGAGAGGTGTGAGGCCAGGGGAGATTAAAGCCCAAAAGCCTCAGTGAAGAGGTATGTTTTAAGCTGGGTTTTAAAGGTTATTATAGAGGAGGCAGAGCGGATGGCAAGAGGAAGCTTGTTCCAGAGTGATGGTGCACTGACACAGAAAGCTCTGTCACCAAATGTCCGGAGCCTGGAATTAGGTTCAGCAAGCAGGTCCTTGTCAGAGGACCACAGGGACCGTGACTGAGTGTAGGGATGGAGTAGATCTGTGAGGTACGGAGGTGCAAGTCCATGGAGAGATTTGTACATCAGTAGGAGAATTTTATATTTGATCCAGGACTTAACTGGCAGCCAGTAGAGCTTCTTCAGGATGGGAGGGATGTGAAGTCCAAGTTTTGTGTGGGTGAGCATCCTAGCCGCAGAGTTCTGGACATACTGGAGTCTGTCAGTAGCCTTGCTGGGCAGACCGAACAGGATACCGTTACAATAGTCAAGTCGGGATGTGATGAAGGAGTGGATGAGGGTCTCAGCTACAGAGTTGGAGAGGCACTGTCGGAGTCTGGAGATGTTCTTAAGATGGTAAAAGGCAGTTTTATTAGTGTTTTTGATGTGCTGTTGGAAGGAGAGAGTGGAAGAGGAGTCCATGTTTCCGGATGATGATCACAAGAGGTAGCATGTAGATATTGAATAGCACCGATCCTTGAGGCACGCCATGTGAGACTGGCGCCAATTCAGAGCAGATGCCCTTAAGGGTGATGTATTGTTGCCTGTTGGTGAGATAGGATTGAAACCAGGAATACACAGTACCAATGAGGCCAATGAGTTCGGAGAGGCGAGGGAGAAGAATAGCCTAACTAAATAAAACTGTAACCTCGAGTCCCCATCTCTGCTCATATTCTCACAAGATACGTCAATGTGGGAATAGCTCTTCACAGAGTGCAGTGTTTAGCAGATTTTAATGGAAATGTTCAGGTATTTGTCAAGCTCGCAGTTAATTTAATATTAGGAGAACTATTAATTATGATAACATTTTACTAAAAGAGGTCATATTATGCTTTTTGGCTTTTTCCCTCTCCTTTATTCAGTTAAATATCTTTTTTGTGCATGTAATATGTTTGCAAAGTGAAAAAGTCCACTCCAAAGGGAGTTCCCATCTCCAACAGAAAACACTGCTCTGAACTGCCTGAAAACAGCTCATTTGTAGTCCAGCCTTTTCCCCATCATCCCTGCGATGACACAGCAAAATGCGCGTCATAATGCTCGCCAAGCGGCTAGTTCAACATGCCCTCAAAAACACCAGTGGAAAAAAACACTAAGCTGCAACACATAGTTACAAGATGTCCGCCTGTTGCCTCTCCTCTCCTCTCCTCTAACACTAGCTACCCTCCAGGCAGTCAATGGACATAAAATAGTATGATGTAGAGGCAGAGCTCAGTTAAAACTTTATGGATGAAAGATATATTTGACACAGATTAATAACTCACCACTCTGAAATTCTTGCACCAGTCCATGTTGCTAAGCTGGTAAGGGGATATACAGCTGAACCGAAGCCGTGTTTTCCAGCTTCTGAGGACCCGCCCTACTCTGCTTCTTTTCTGAAAATCAAACCATGTAAACCTGTTCTGGTACAACCCCTAAATAAGATTTTGAACCTGAAAATGAGCATAATATGACCTCTTTAACACCGCTACAGTGGATATTTGGGAAACAGACTCTGGCAAGAATAACGCTGATTGGAGTGTTGAAGGAGTGTTGCCTCCAACAGCTTTCAATGGAACGTCAATTTAACAAAAATCATGTTGTCAGATTAAAATAAAATAATAATGAAGTGCTCTACAATGATGATGACAGAATCAAAGCCATAACGACAACAAGTAAGACCGAATTCAGGACTACAAGCAACAGATAAAATGGTTTATGCTATGGCCAATAATACTTGCTCTGGTGATTTCACTGTTTTTTATATTGTTTTGACTTAAATGCTTCAGTTTTAAACACATAAATAAGACATGTTTTTATTAGGGCTGGGCACGTTAACGTGTTATTATCGCATTAACGTATTAATTAATTAACACTGACCATTTGCACATTAATGCAGTTTTTATTATTATTATAGTTATTTTGACAGTCCCTTGCTCACTGGCTCTGAATACACATACAGTCAAACCATGGGTCACAGGATGGGTGGGATGTTGATCAGCCTGCAGATCACCCACCCAAACAAGCAGCAGAGGGAGGCTTTGGCAGACTATGCTGGATGCAGCGTGTGGGAGAAGTAGATAAACAAAAGCAAGTCTGGTGAACAAATGCCATAGCGAGAAGATAGATACACACTGCATGCTGATTAGTATTGAGGAAGATGTCCTTCTTAGGAACGTAAAATCACAACGTAGTTGCTTGTCCCCGCAGGGTGGCTCTTTGCTCCGGTGAAGAGACGGGGAGACAGCGCTCGGCAGGTGCTCTATGGAGAGTAACCATGGCAGCGGCTTCTGTGTGTTACACATCTGTAGCTGATTTAACTTAAGTTAAAATTATAGGCTACATAACTACCTGATATTCCTTCATCTTGTTTTGCAGCAATTTTCTGCCATGCGAATTCCCTCCTGTTGATGTCCTATTTAGTAAACAGTAATAGATTCTGGAAACTCACAAACAGCGAGGATCAGTCTCTCTTTCATTGATTTGTGCTGCATCGCATACAAAATTTCAAGACAATTCAGCTTCAGCAGCGGGCCAGCGTGTGCGTGAGGCGACCACTTCACCTCACTCTAACAGGGACACTTGCTACTGAACATAGACTATCTACTGCTCCCTGATAAAAGAAAATGTTTCTGCTGATACCTGTTCAGAAAAAAAAAACTAGAAAACAGATTTATATATGTTAACCTGTTGCTTAGAAGGTCGCTGATATGATCATGGCTCTGGATTCTGAGGGTAACTTGTTTTAACAAGCTAGATAAAAGGTAATGCCCTGGCAGTGGCAAATAGCTTTGGTTTTATATTTGATTAATGTTAACATTAATGTTTAAGTTGAGATTTACAAGAAATATTTTATTGCTACTGTGTAAAGGGAAAACTGCTGGTAAAAAGCAACTAATTTGTTGTGTTTGCAAACCACATGTTATTGCACTTTTGTGTATATAGCAGTACATTTCAATAAAAAATGCACAATACACTACTTTAGAATTCATTATTCAATATTGCGCATAACTATGCAATTAATTGCGATTCATCGCAGAAAATCATGCGATAATCACAATTAAAAATTTTAATCGTTGTCCAGCACTAGTTTTTATTAATATCATCAGTAAGCAACAATTAATAACCTGTTGTTAACCATTCCTGTTCAGCTCCCAGAACATAGTTGGGAAGCACAGGGGATTTCTCCAGGACTGAAGTTGATGCTAACTTCGGGGCTAACCCCTTCACACTTTCTTCAGTAGTTGGCAAGAAACACACGGGAACTCCGCTTTAGTCTTGAGAAGCAGCAGTCTTTATTCACCGGCCACTGAAACTTGCACTGTACATTTCAGTGTCAGATTTCAGAGGTGGCATGTGCCACGCCTTTGCTGTTTAAGTGTTTTTGAAATGCTGTAGGAGGCTTGTCCTCATTGCCCCAATTCACTTTGTTCTCTTGTCTGAGTCTGTGTTTCCCAAATCTCTTTTAAAGGAGTTGAAGAGTATAAATATTACCATGACCAATAGTCATAATGGAAACATTTTTGAGGGTAAGACTCGGGTTGGCAAATACTAGAATTTTTCAACAGTGACTGTCTCTTTCAAAGAGAAGAAATGATGTGTGAGAGTCCTTTTTCTTGCCTTCTCTGGCTTTAATAAAAAGCAACGTAGGCATAATACCAGTAAATGTCGTTTTATTTGCGCAAACTGAGCCATAGTCCTTAGATGACAAATATTTTCTATATGCTGCTTTACTGCTGCAGGTTACTGAAGGTAAAACTAACACTGATCTAAATGTCCTCTCCTGCAGTGGACTGTGAGTGGTCCAGCTGGTCCCAGTGGGGTCCGTGCTCAGCAAGCTGTGGTACGGGGCGACAGAGCTCCACCAGAATCATCCAGCAGCCCAGCCAGTACGGAGGAGCCCCTTGTGTGGGCCCCGACCACCGCACCACAACCTGCATGGCCCCTGACTGTGGTGAGTCAGAAGATGAGAGATAGTGGATGTTTTATTGATCATCAAAAACCATAATATAAACAAAATAACAATATTTCTGGCAGTGTGCAGCCCAGAGCCTCTTGTGAAAGAAAATACGATGTAAATTGTTCCTGCTTGACACCCACTGCTACAATTATCATTATACGTGCTGAACGTGTGTTCAAATTTACACTGGGTCCACAGCAACATACCCACCATGTTTGAAGTCAACTGGATGAACGGTTCTTGACATAATCGAAATACAAACACGCAGAAAGACACACATACACACACAAATACACGTAGACACACATACACACACACCCACCCAGATTCCGGTCTTTATTAGAGAATTTATTATTACTATTATTGATTTTTATTGATATTTATATTATTACCAGTGCTGGACATTAATTAAGTAATACTTAAGTACAAATTTGAGGTATTTGTACATTACTTAAGTATTTTCTTTTTATTCCACTTTCTAGTTCTATACCACTACATCTCAGAGGGAGATATATTTTGCTTCACTACATTTATATCAGGTTTAGTTACTAGTTACTTTACACACAAAACATATGAAGACTTAATAAAATATGTTTGTTTTTTGTTTTTTAAACCTGTCCTGCCCAGTAGCCTGGCATACAGTATGAGGAGCTGGATACCATGTTGTGCCAGACTGATTTTGCTTTAACAAGAGAGTTTTAATATACTCCTTTGTTGTTATTTAATTATGTATTAATTTGTCACTGGGCACAAACATCAGACAAACAGAAACCACAGAGAATAGACAGCACCTGCAAGAGAACGGGGATGGGGGTTGGGAAACAAATATCTTTAGTTATAAATTAAACTACCCAACATTTGTATGTTACCAGTTACTTTAGCAGTTAACTAATGTTAACAGCTGCTAGCTATTCAGTTAGCCAGGCAAACGGCTGTCCTATTGCGGATTCTGCCCGGACTGGAAGCTTGGTGCTTGCGGGGTGTTTTTCACTCCTCTAACATTTGTACATAAGTTTCTGACCACTAGTTCAGAGTTAGCTGACTACAGCAGCTACCGTTAGCAGCAGCTAGCAGGTCGTGTTAGTAACAACTAAAGCTATCTGTGCATTAGGAAACTTTGTAAATAACAGAGTTGAGACAGAGCACCCAGAGTACATCAGAGGAGAAACCAGATCTATGTAGCATGTCTAAACTACGTATGAATTTTAATAAATGTATGAGAATTAATACCCAATTTTTAATTTTAATATTCAGAAAATATTAATCCATAAAAAGCTCTCGTTTCGCAGGGGCACCACCGGAGTTGTTATTAGCCTAGAGTCTCCGGACCTCTAGGTAGCTTTTAATAATTATACAATTATTCACCAGTGATCAGTTACTTAATAATCGCTCAATTATCTTAAATCAATCAGTCAGTCTCATATCTAAAGGGTAAATTCTCTTGGCAGGGACTTAGAAGTAGGCAATACACACAATTACAATTACAGTGAATTTATTAACTAACTAAGGTGATATAATATTGCGGTTAAATACAACAAAGAAATAAGCAATGGCTAAACAATGAGAATGGAGGTCTATTGTGGGAAGCATTTGACTCATACTCATAAACAGAAGGATATAATCCTATTTTTTTGTACATTGTTTATCTATTTTTTTTTTGTCAATTCTCTTTTGGGTTTTTTTAATTTATACTGCTGCAGAACTGACTCCATTACTTCACATAAAAAGCAGAATAGTGGCTGTTCCAATCAACAGAGAAAACAGGCGAGTGCTTAATTTCTAAGTGAGGTTACAGCCCGTTGACAAAGACACAGTAAAAAAGTGTTTAATAAGTGAATTTTAATTGAAAAACTACATATAGCCCCTTCAATAGAGACTCCAGTCTGTGGTATGGGTCATACACTTCACTGATAAACCACAGAATTGTAGAGTTACATTAGGCTTCATGATCTAAGTTTTATATCACCTTGACACTGAAGTCATACTTGCTCACTCTATCTTGCTCGTCCACAGGAGCTCTCTCTCTCTCTGCTGCAGTTCTGCATCAAACTTTTGTGTTAATTGATGTTATCAGAAGAATCAGAATCAAAAGAAGCATTATTGCCAAATAGTGTTTTACACATATGAGAAATTTGCTTTGGTGATGAGGTGCTACACGGTCACATAAATAAATGTAGAAATATATAAATATGGAATAGATGATGCAAGTTATATAAAAATAATAGAGAAAAATAATACAACTATTTGCAGAGAAAGAACAATGTTGCACATATTTACATGTGCATTATTTGTGTTGTGCAGACGTAAATTATGCCCAAAACACCTGAATAATTAAAAGCCTAAATACAACCCCTTTGCACCATGCACCTTCTTTGCACCCACATTTTGTACACTTTAACTAGCAGAAGTGGACACACCCTAATGTACATGCACCATGCACTTTAGACCATGCTCTATAGATAGTTAGTCCTAGTATGATGAGAACAAATGCAAGATCAGAGTCTTTAATTTCATTAAAAGATAACCCTGTTGTGGCTGCTTACATACTTATTTGTATTTTCAAACAATAGCCTATGTTTTCACTTTCAGGGTACAAGAGGAAGGACGTTTAGGATGAGGACTTAGTGAGGTGTTTGGTAATTGTAACAATATTGACTGAGCTGGCTTGGGTTGCTGGAGCGTAAACTTCCCCAAATTCAATATTTGTTAATACAGTAGGGAAATACTACAGAGTGGATGTGTTAGTTGTGAACAGAACTTTTACATAACCTGTAACCCCACACATAATGTAGTTAGTTGATGATATGCTCCTCGGTTTTGAAAGTAATTCAGTCACTGTAAAATCAGGTACTAAGCTAGTTAGCTAGACAAGCTAACAATTGCAGCTTATGTTAGAGTAGATCAGCAGATAAATACACTGTTTAATCCATTCTTGCTTGCTCTTTTGCTTTCAAAAGGCTAAAAAAAATCACACTACTGTCTAGATTTGACCTCATGGGGGAAAGAAACAGCTGCACATGCTTCTGTGGGGTGATAACATCGCAGCTCCATGTGGATGTACTCTAGTGTGTTGCCTACATGCCTACATCACCTCAGCACAGGGTGTGGAAAATGCATATTGTCACCACTAGTTGACAGTGCAAGTTAGTGATGTGCGGATCGATACTAAAGTATCGATGTTTCTGATCCCAACATTTCCTGCTGATATAAAAGGATCGACATCCAAACTCAGTCAGTGTTTATCTGTTAAATTCTGTGTGTGAGGAGGCATTTAGCGAATGGTCATTTGGTGTTACGTGTTATTAACTATCCATCCATCCATCGTCAACCGCTTATCCTGCGTACAGGGTCGCGGGGGGCTGGAGCCAATCCCAGCTGACATCGGGCGAAAGGTGGGGTACACCCTGGACAGGTCGCCAACCCATCGCATGGCCACACATAGACAAACAACCAGTCACACTCACACCTAAGGACAATTTAGGGTCACCAATTAACCTAGGCCACATGTCTTTGGACGGTGGGGGGAAGCCGGAGCACCTGGAGAGAACCCACGCAGACACGGGGAGAACATGCAAACCCACAACCTTCTTGCTCCCTCGCTAACCACTGCTCCACCGTGCCGCCCGTTTTGTATGATGGTGAAAAACATTGAACTGTCCAGCTAATTAATACTGTACCTTCAAAATGCACTCGTTTTCTGTCAACACTGCCTTTTCATTTCATGTACTTCTATTCTCCCACCAATTCAACATTAAATTGTCTTGACTTACTCAATTTCCCCTCTCCATCCTACCATCTTCCTGTCTCATCTTCCCTTCTCTTTCTATTTTCTTCTCCCCCCCACCACTCTCCTTCGCAGCGTGTCCTGTCGGGGAGCAGTGGAGGAGGAGCATGTCAGAGGAGGTCCTGCTGTGTGAGAGGAGCTGCCAAGACATTTACTCCTCTCCCTTCAACTGCAGCAACTCCGCTGAGGGCTGTGTGTGTCAAGAGGGGTTTTACAGAAATATGGGAGGGATGTGTGTCATCCCCGCCCTCTGCCCTTGCCATGACCAGGGCATCCTGCGGGAGGTACTCTAACTCACACACATACACTGAAAGTAAACAGGCATCTGCTGCTCAGCTAACTCGGCAGCTTGCACCCATTTTCCCTGCCTCATTGTGGCATGTGTCTGAACCTTACCATTAGCGTGGTGTTTATGTTCCCTCCCATTTACTCCCATTGTGGTATTTACTCATAAAGAAGGGCCTATTAGAAGATGAGTGACATGTACTGCGGGCCACATTACACCAAATACCTCTACAGCCATCAGCCTCATCAATTATGTAGAAAGTGCTGTAGAAAGCCAGCACTTGGACTTCAACTGGGTAAGCCTGCCAGGAATTATTTATGGTGGAGATATTATAGGATTATAAGAATGAATCATACACTGACAAGAGGTCAACCCCCCATTGTTTCTTCTTCAGGTCTTTCTCTCTCTTTCAATCTCTCTTTCTTTCTTTCTTTCTTTCTTTCTTTCTTTCTTTCTTTCTTTCTTTCTTTTCCTCTCTCGTAGCTCTGCTTTATCTCACTAGTCCTTCCTCTGCTTCCTTTACAGGATTTGTGTTCAGTCTCTCACTTTCTCCATCCCTTTTCTCATTCAGTCTTCACCATTCTTTATTTCCCTCCATCTACTCCTCATCAGCCATTCTTCCTGTCTCTTTCTTTCCACCTGTCTTCTCTGTTTCTCTTTCTGTGTCTTTCAGCTAGTGATGAATTGTGTCCATAAAGACTATCTATGGTGTTTTAATCAACTACCTCATGACTATTATGCCAAATGGCTCAGTGTGAGCCTCAACGGCACTCCCTAGTGAGTGGCTTTGTATGGGTAAAAACTGAGTACTATTAATGATTCCCAAAGCTAAAACACACACACAGTACACACAGTGTACTCTGTATTACGTGTCATAATTACAGCATCATAACGAGCCTCTATAATCGAAATTATGCACAAGGGTGCAGCCAGAGCTTTAGTGGATTAACTGATGGAATAGATCCTAAGCTATGACCAATTGTGTGTTTTTGTGTGCGTGAGCCAGGCAGGATCAGAGTGGGAGGAGGGCTGCCTTTCATGTCGCTGTGTTAACGGAAGAAAATGGTGCCAGTTAAGATGTCCACCGCTCCACTGTGATGAGGTGAGAAGCACACACTGACATTCAGGGCTAAACTGACATCAGAACAACAGAATTTGATATGTTAATTGACAGGCACCTGGCTTTAGTCTATTAATCGTAGGTTTCTAAACACTTCTTTGCAAGATCATATATTCAGAGGCACTAGTGGTGGTTAAATTGAAAAAATATGTAATTTTACATTGCAGTATTAATGTACTGTTTATTGTTGATGATAATTTTTGGGAAATCACTTGAGAAACTGTTTATACATTAAATAACTTAATGGGAATGTCTGTTTTTCTCTAATTCTAAATAAAAAATCAAGGAACTTTATTGAATTAAGGTTGAAATCCTGTAAATATTGCCTTAACACACAGTAGAAACTGTATAACACAATCTTAACCAGTTGACAAATCTCTGTTGTTTCATAGTATACCATACTGTATATCACCATTTTGCCCAGCCTTAAGTTAGTTATTTAGTTATGCTTTATTCATTCAGTTAGCCAAGAGATCAAGCTCTCTTTAGCAAGAGAGACCCAAGAACAAGTTACATGTACTGTACATATTCAGTATACAATACGACAACCTGAAAATTCACCAAGTCACCAAAAAAGTCATTACTTATAGTGCATTATATAAAACAATCACACATATTGTTAAAAATAGTAACAAGTAGAACTGTGAATTCCCTTAGAGGATAGTGTCTCTAACTTCAGTTTGTTTTGCCATACATAACAGTAGCAAGGTGCAAAGCACTGGAAACCTGTCTTTTCTAGGTCAGAGTTGTTGTGAGGAACTTTTAAAAATAACCCATTCTGAGATCTTGTGTCACATATTTTAATGTTAAATTCGTTCGCACAGTTGATGCTTTGTAGATGTCAGTGACCATCAACCTTAACTGGCTTATCTTCTTGGCTATGTGCTGAGTTTTGTCATGTTGTCTGTTATTTAGTGGAGGAGCATATGAACTATAATAACTGTTTCTGTGTCCCCATCTTTGCAAGGTAGATCTCTCTCACAGCCAATCTGTGCTGTGCAGCTCTTGCACAGAGATTTTTATAACACCCTTAATACTAAGCATTGTCTACTTCAGACTGCTCATTACTCTGTATGAGGATTGTCGGCAAGGTTGGGTTAACAGCTGTGTATGTACAATAATAATGATTTTTATAAAGTACAAAGTTTCAGTACTATATTTCAGATTTCACCATGATGTAGGTTCTGATAAAGCTGCATTTGTAGTCCCAGTTATTTGGTCTTCGGCAGGTGTGTGCATAATGCATCCAAACAAACATTCCACCACCACTGCTACCGCAGGCTAGTACAGGTCACACAGCATCTCTGTTGGCCGTAAACGTCTCAGTAACTAATTACACTGTCATATATGAGGGATTACGGGTACCAGTGCATGTCATTAATGATGATGGGCCCTTCAGGCATTTGCCTGATGAAGGTGTAGTACTGAAACGTTATGTAAATATATATTTTTTGCAAGTTAGATAGTGTGCGGGTGTTTTTCTCTGCTACCTCTATAACACGAGACAGGTGCGTACCTGTCTCGTGTTATAGAGGTGCGAAGTTATTATATATAGTATATATAGTAGCTGTTCTGAGGCCTTCCTGGTAGAATTCAGGCAGTATAGACACTCATCACTATATTGAATACGTACGTTAGAAGAAGAAGTTGTAATAATATACTGCAGGGGACTGCAAATACGTTTTGCACCGGAGCAATATTTTCAACCATTAGATGGTGTATGAGAATAGCCATAATATTGACTTACATTGACTCACGTTATTCGGTTAGCTCTTGGTAATGCCCAAGACTCACATACCAAGGGATGAGGGTTCGATCTCACCTTGAGACAATTCTTTTTTTCTCTCTTCAACAAATGGATTCTGCAGTGACAATTTCTAAGATCACAGCATGTGCTGAACTGTTTTTGTTTCAGTGTTTGAGTCACATCCATCAACCTAAGGACGCTTTTTCATTTCCCCAGTATCTTCAGGCAGAGGACATTTAGGGGAATCATGTTTTCTGACGGCTCTTTCAGAGGTGTGTCAAGCAGGCTACAGACTCTTTTAATGTCGTTCAGAATTTTTCAAAGTAAAAGTTCAGTCCAGCTCCAAATATTGAATTATAGTAAACAGACTTCTCATGCTTTTATTTTGTAGGCAAATCCACTAAATAATAATAATAATAATCTTTATTTGTAAAGCACTTTTCAACAAGTTACAAAGTGCTTTAACAAGTGTAAAGACAATAATACCCAAAAGACAATAATACAAAAACAATACAATATTCAATAAAACATTGAAAAGACTAAAATACACGTTTTAGATAAATATAAAATAAGTAAAATAGGATAAAATAAAAGGGATAAAATAAAGTCAAATAAGATCGGGAAAGGCTCTCCTATAGAAGTATGTTTTAAGAAGGGACAAAAAGAGTTCACTGACTCAGCCGACCTGATTTCCTCAGGCAGGCTGTTCCAGAGCCTCGGGGCCCTGACAGCAAACGCTCTGTCCCCTTTAGTTTTCAGTCGAGACTCTGGAACAGACAGCAGACCTCTTCCCGAGGATCTCAAGGTACGTGCTGGTGTGTATGGGACTAAAAGGTCAGAAATATAACAAGGCGAAAGGCGATGAAGAGCTTTAAAAGTGATCAATAGAATTTTAAAGTCAATTCTAAAACATACTGGGAACCAGTGTAGTGAAGCTAAAATAGGAGTAATGTGGTCATATTTCTTTGTTCTGGTTAAAAGCCTGGCAGCTGAGTTCTGGACAGTCTGGAGTCGATCAGTAGATTTTTGGGTTAAGCAAGTGAAAAGGTTGTTGCAATAATCCAGGCATGATGAGATCTTGGTGTCCTTAAAAGTTAACACAGATCAAATTTTTGCTATATTTCTAAGTTGATAAAAACATGATTGAACAAGCTTTGTGGTGTGCTGCTCGAAATTTAAATTACTATCAAACCAAACACCAAGGTTCTTTGCAACAGGCTTAATGTGATTTACTAGGGAACCAGCAGATGGCAGTATTTGTTTTGCCATCTGCTGGGACCTGATGACCAGGATTTCTGTTTTGTCTGAGTTCAGCTGGAGGAAATTATTTGACATCCATTTTTTAACTTCACAAAGGCAGTCGGTAAGTGAACTCAGCATTCCAGGGTCTGTGGATCTGACGGGCAAGTATATTTGTGTGTCATCAGCATAAATATGAAAAGAAATACCATGTTTATGGATAATATGTCCAAGGGGAAGCAGATACAAGGAAAACAAAATGGGTCCTAAGACCGACCCCTGAGGTACACCATATTTAACTGGACAGAATGAGGAGACATACTTGTTTACAGACACGCAAAACTTCCTATTTGACCGGTAGGATGAAAACCATTCTAGGGCAGTACCAGAGATCCCCACTAAAGAGGAAGTGATTATGTGAGTAAATATTGCAGTCATGACTGAGATCTATTTCGCTACTGCTATCAAAGTATTTATTTGTTTAGATTTTTTGCCGCTATCAAAGCACCATAATCTGGCAACGGGCCAGATTATTGCTGGCAGGCAGTTTTGGCAAGGGTCCATAATCACAGACTGATGAATGATTCCCTTGTCAATGTTTGTATAAACTTTATCTAATGTATGGTTTATAATGGACTGTGGTGCAGAAATAGTGACAGTGTTACATTTTCCATGTTATGTCAGTGGCCAAGTCACAATAACATATAGTTTTACTGTTTAAGTAAATATAATTTCTTAACAAATATACCTAACGAAACCTCATTTTTTGACTGGCCACTCTCTGCTGTCTCAGAAGAGACATCGTTTGTGCTGTTGTCAGCCACCATAGCTGTCCTGCGCTCTTTGAAAGGTTAGGAGGCAGGGACAATTAGGGAGACTGGACAGATGGTTCCAATACACAACCTAGATGCCACTAAATCTTACATACTGAACCTTTAAAAGGTTAGTTCATTATAATTCTATCATCACTTTTTGTAATTTGGGTTCCCTAACCCATTAAAAAAAGACTACTCACTAACAAACTTCATAAAAAATTTTACTTCATAAAAACAAAAAATGTCTGAGAGAAGTTGAGAAAAGTCACAGTAGAAAAGTCAACTGCCTCCTCGTTGACATATTTTTAACACACCATTGTGTAAGAGACAGGGTAAAATTCTGCTGACATCCAGGACTATAAAAAGAGAGGTTGTTTGCACTGTGAGCTCCACAAAGTAGATAGTCTACCGAGTGTGAGGACTGGGACACTGATGTAAATAGTCTTTATTTCAGTTTTTTACTGGTATGTCCTGATATTTTTTATACTGTTTTGGTTTTTAGCCATACTAGCAGCAAGGCTCCTAGGATGACAGCGTTGGACAGCCCACCTCTTTGGTCTATAAATAGCTCTACAACTAGTGGATTAATGAGGATGAACATGAGGATTAATTCTAGTGATCTCCTAGCTTTTCCTCTAGCACCACCATGATTAGTAGTTTTTAATCAAATGTCTCTATTGGATGGATTACTATATTCATGTTCCCCCCAACAGTAATTGTAACTTTTCATCTAGCACCATCCAGAGGTGGGGACTCTAGTTTCAGACTCGAGTCCGACTTAAGTTGCACACATAGTGACTTCAGAGTCGACTTCAGACTCGTCCTTGAAAGACTTAAGACTCTGGGTGCGGGACTCGGGAACAATGTTTATTTTTAGGAAACGTCTGATGAGCGTGCTGTTTTTCCCATGCAGCCACGCGTGAGAGGAAAAGAAACACCGGCATCTGCAATGCCATTCATCATAAACTTTGGATTTACAACTTCATACAACAAGAGCCAAACAAAGAAGCGCTGAACGTAAAATAGATTAGTAACCCGAGGTTAGTAAACATGTTTAGCTCAGCATTGGCCATCTAACGTTAGCTTGCTTCTTGCTTTAGCTACGACCTACGGGAGGTTAACTCGTTCGTTATGTTCGTTTACTTGCCAAACTTGTGGTGGTCAATTAACGTAGTCATGTACGTCCTGCTGGCTGCCAATAGGTTACAGGTTGATTGTTGATCATGTAACGTTACAGTTTTATGTACAGTAGTTATAATGTTACACTGGGTTTGAGAGTCTGCGGGACATGTTGACTTACAGTAGTTAATAAGCTGTCATTAATGGCATTGCACATTACATGGTTGTGCTCTGTAAGTGAAAAACAGGTTACAGTTACAGAATCTCTTATAACTATGCAGTGTTTTTCGCAGCCTGGGTTGAGCACAGCAGGTGATACAACATTCATTATACCCAGGAGAGACTTGACTTGGACTCTAGCTCAAATACTGTTGAGCATCTCTAGCACCATCATCAGGTCAAATTTTTGATATGTCTTTGACTTTTGACCAAACACCAGCAAAACTCCTGACATTCCCATCAGCCTCAGCTGTGCGTTGTGTTTAGTGCTAATTAGCTAATGTTAGCATGCTAAACTAAAATTGCACAAACAGATAACCGTTCGCTGCAAAATAGCGAGAGAATAACATGACACGCCTGACCACGACACAGACCCTTGTCGCTCTCTTTGCTGTCTCTGTCCTCATTGCTAAAAGACACCATTGCTCTGTTTCACTGTCTCTGCTCCAGGGTTCTTCCCTCTGAAGAGACTGTGAGCTGCACTTTATCAGAGGTGCTAAAGTTAACATTTATGTGGATGTGTAGGCTTGTGAAATTTATGTCTGATCACAAGTGTTTCAGTTTTCTACCTCTGATGAAGAGCAGTGGACTTGTGTCATCCAGTACAGTCCCAGATGGGCTTTGTGTCAGACGATCTAAAGGTTATCCCCTTTAGACACAATAATACAGGGTAATGCACATCAGAGGGGCAGGTAGATTTTGTTAAAATATTATGACTTCATTCTCATTAGATTGCGATTTTATTCTTATCTCCTAATGTTATTCAGAAAACACAGATTGAGTTATGATATGTGGGAGAGATTCTGAATGTGCAGAAAGTTTTGAACATGAGCAGAAACCCTGCTGAAACACAGGAGCTATTAAAGTACAGAAGTTTCTATCTGAAAGCAATACAGAATGCCTCACAGAGCTGTAGAGTCTTAGTCTTGCTAGATTATGCTATTGTAGATCTACTGTATTCGATGTTCTAGCTATTTTAAATATTCCGGTTTAATATTGAGCTTCATCTGGATGGACTTTAGTTTGTTTTGTTTTTTGACCTGTGTCAATTCTCAGGTGTGCTCTTTTGGAGAACAGACTACTTTGTCTCTTGTTTTGGTTGTTGTCCTTCTTGAAAAATATATGTACAATGTGTGTTCATTGTCACAGGTTGAATGAAATGCATGACAAAAAGCTGTTGTGCAAACATGTAAAACTGTCTAATAAGTAGTTGAGTGTGACAGGGTGCTGGAGATTATTTTAGATTTTTTTGTTTATCACTTGTTTTATTACACACATTTCACAAAGACAACTTATGTTATCTCTCTCTCAGGGAGAGGCCAAGGTGGAGGAACCAGGGAGCTGCTGTCCAGTCTGTAGAAAACAGTTCCCAGGTCAGTACAACATACAGTATGCAGAGAAACACAAAATACACCAATCAACTTAGAGAGTGTGTTCAGGAATCAAATGTATAATACAGATATATTTGTGGTTTACATAGTAGACATTAAATTCCCTGAATAAATGAATTAACCTGAGAGCATTTCTTTGCACCAATTTTTGTATCAGAAAGAGTGAAACCGATAAATGACTTTTATTGACAAGCATCAAAACAAAGTCAATAAAGCCCAAAGGCTAACGATGATTTTTCCTCTATGGTAATGTAAAAAAATGGAACAATTAAAATACTACTTCTTATAAAACACACAAATCTCAAACACACATACAAAATCACTCTTGTTCCCTTTCTGCCATGCCATGACTTTCAAACCACTTCAATGGATTTGAAAATTCTGTAGTTCATTTTATAGGAGACTAAAAATCAAGTGCCACAGTGCACAATTAGTGAGATTATATTACTTAACCTACATTGGGGCTTTAGTCTCTCCCAGTGGACGAGATGTCACATGCTGTGAGCGAGCAATGTCACTGTGCTCTCTGGAAGAAACTCTCTGGCTTTGTCTCTAATTTTGTCTTTGTCCTCTCTTTTCATTCAAATTCAAAAAAGACTTCTTGATGTTTTGTTTCTACTTTCTTATTTTCTCCTTTTCATTGTCCTCTCCTTTCCTATTTACTCTATCCTACCTAATTTTGCCCTTTTTCTTCCATCCTCTTCATCTTCTCTGTTTCTGTCAGGCGAGCCCGTGCCAGAGTGTCGTCGCTATGTGCAGATCAGGAACATCACCAAGGGAGACTGTCGGCTTGACAACGTGGAGATCAGCTTCTGCAGGGGACGCTGTCTGTCCAGGAGTGATGTCATCCTGGAGGTACAGAGAAAAGACATCTACACACACACACCCTATATTACTCTCTGAACATAAGGCAATATCGACAAGTATTGACTTCAACATGAATGACAACATAATAAAGATCAATACAGGCAGCACGAGACCGGAACTGGAACATAAAAAGCTGTTGGCTGTAATAGTTTGCAAATTGCCCATCAAGGCTGCAATCAATTGTGTTTAATCATATAGTCCAATTTCATCTCCTGCAGTAAGGAGTTTCTGCATTATTCATTAAATTAGGAATGTCTGCCAGACTTAAATAATAAATAAAGCGACAAACAGCAGCAAAACAATTTTGTCTCTTCAAAGCCACCGTTAATAATATTGTTCAAAATAATGTATTTTCTTATTTATCTTTGCTCAGCCAATCTATTTTCCTCCTGAAGCATGACCTAGCATCACAATGTTGTGTTTTTGCAAGACAAAGTGAAACATGTGGCCATGTGCAGCTTGTCAAACTTGCTGTAATCTCACTTCTTCATAAACACAGGCCATAAAGACAATTAAGGGTACAGCTAACAGTCCCTTACAGTCTCTGACATCAACAGTAGTTACAGTTATATACACAGTTCATATAGATGCAAGAACACAAGTAAACAAAAATACATAATTTAGTAGTTGAGTCACCAGTGATCTAAATATAGATGTTCTGTATAGGAATCTTCTGCAGGGCGCACATGTTGAGCCTTTTACTGATTTTATCTGCATCTTCTTGTCCTTTTTTTGTTTTTTTATTCTTGCAAGTTCATCACCTCATCACCATGGAAACTTCCATACATCTCCACTGCAAAAATAGAGTCAGTCAGATTAGTAAAAATAAACATCAGCTCAGCCTAATGTTTCATTACCGTCCTGGTGGCAACTAGGGATGGTAACTGGTGACTTGGCAACACAGAGAAGTTCCCTTTCCGTTGATCAGCAGGAATGGAAGAAGCAGGAATACACTTACAAGAATCGCATACTCTTTCCCATCAACGATATTGGGGAACACTAAAGTATTAAATGCATGAAAGCGCGCACACACACACACACACTAGTGTTGTCACGGGACTGGAATTTCTAACTTCGAGACAATACCTTGAAAAATATCAATATTCAATACCATTTTTGATACCACGGGGGGGAAATGTACACAACATTGATAATTAATAATAAATAATTACTGAATTATCTTATCAATTTATCTTAGTAAGTAAAGTTACTAGTACTGTGTGTTAAGCAGACCAGCTTCAGTTAATTTACTTCTGACCTTGGTCAAAGTATTTTCCTGTCAACTGAAACTGTGCTGTCTTGAGATTCCTTAGGTCTGAGCGCTCTGAGGGGAATTAGCTTAGGCTTAGTTTTGAGAATTATAAGTGTCTGTTAGGCAAACAACAGGACAACTATCTTATCAACAACAGTTTACTGGGCCATCTTGTTTCATACTTTAGTGATGTTGAAAGGGGAGATGTCTCCACCCTCTCCAGGTTCCTTATAAAAGGACGGAGTGTCGGTCCTGCAGGTGCTCTTTCGTTAGCACCGCTCTGTACCGTCACTTTCATTTGGGCTTGCTTGTTATCTTTGCCAGTAGCCAATCACAGCACAGTAGGACAGGACTCTGGCTGTGAGTGACAGGAGGCGGGGCTGTGTGGGCACTGCAGCGGTGTGTGTATAAGCTCTCTGTCGGGAACAAGAGAAACTCATCTTCAGGATTGATACTGAGGAAAATGAATATTAAAACAGTTCAGAATCGATATATAAAAAAAAAATTTTGTGTCTTTGACAACACTAACACACATATTTGTGAAGCACTAATAACCGCTATTTAGAAGTTGAAGGTTCTTTTTATTTTTTGATCCTGGACACTCTCCATCTCTCACCTACTTCTCCTCATATTATCTATGATTCTCTGCTACCATCCTACTTACTTACTTACTTTTTCACAATCTCATACTTTTTCACAATCTCTCTACTCCTTGGGTCTTTGCCTGCACTAATTGGACACATGAGCACAACTTCCAAGAAGTTGCAATCTATCGTACAAAACACCAAGGCTAATGTTTTTGGATTCCAAGAGCTACGAAAAAAGGATCAGTTATTACCCAATTCCCAAATTTGTGCATGGACTGTGTACATGTAAAGCTTTCCAGCTGTCTTTTCAACTAATTTAATACATCATGTAAACTTTAAAAAAAATCTAAATTTTGGCTCCCTATAAATAAAATGCATATTATTATGATTATAATGTAAAATCATCAAAAGGACTTAGTCTGTAATGTTTCTGTATTATATTTACCTACCCTAAGTGTAATGTGAAAGGTGTCACTCACAGTGATGTGACCACCAATAATTATCAATTGACTCTGCAGTTCCCCTCAGTTCAGTCAAGAGTTTTAGCATCTTTATATGGGGGTAAATCAATGTCAGTCTCATTGTAAATGCACTTTTTTTGTGACTGAGTCACAAAAAAAATTGTATGTAAACAAAACATGATCCAACTCCATGATCCAAAAATAGAAATCAGTGACTTTTACTTGAAAACCAGAATTTGATCAATGCAAAATGATGCGTTGGCGTGAGAGGGTCATTCTATTTGTAGATTGTTTGGCATTTGTTTTCAGAATTGACGCTACTGTTTCGTTGTTTTACAAATTTCAATTTCTACAGAAGCACTCTTCCAAGATTGAAAATACAGGTTTGACTGTTTGTTTGCAATCCACTGTTTTAAGACATGCGTTGCAAATTCTGTACAATGCTCTGCATTCAAGTGTCAAATCTGTATTTGCAGATCAATTTGTATTTGTTTATAAGTCATTTTGACACTGGTTTACCAGGGAGAGTGCGACTTTGATTCACAAATGTAGTCAGACAATTAGGGGTATTGCCTCTTTGTGATGTCACGCCCTTCAATAAGCCCTTCAAGAAATGCTTTTAAGCATTTGGAAATGACAAATTATAAACTAATCCAAATTAATATATTACAAGATAGAAAATAAGAAGTACCTGCCAGTTTAGAGTTAAACTGACGTGTTTCATTGTCAAATTTACATTTCAGGGTTGACAGATCTTAAAAAAAAAAGCACTCAATTGAATCAATAGCTAGATGTTTAAACAACTAGGCATGGTTGGAACTCACAGGAGAAAACATTGATTTGGAAGAACTATGATTGCAGTGTTCAATGTTATGTTTTTTTTTTTGTTGCCCTTATAACAAGTTGTTTTTATTTATTAGCTGTTTAAAATAACAAGACAAGGTCCCAAAGCCCTTTTTCTTACTCAGGAATTTTTACAGATGTCTTGAGTAGACAAAAACTAGGCCTAACTGGACCATATCAGGTAAGATGAATCTTTATAGAGCTTGTTTTATTAAGTGTGAACAAGCAATTGAACAGGTGTACCTACGTACCTTTCAGGGGTTCAGGCAATAAGCCAAGTAGGCTACATTACTATTGCAAAAAGAACGTACATATGAAACACAAGGGTATATGTATACATGCGGTATATAATGTTCTAACACATTTCAACTCATATTTCAAAGGGCTTTTTGAGGATGTGACATCAAATAGACGCAATACCCCTGATTTACTGACTGCATTTGTGGATCAGTCACAGTCTCCATGGTAAACCAGTGTTAAAATGATTTGTAGACAAAAACTAAGCGATGTTACGGTGGATGTGGGTTGAACAGGTTGGAGGACCCAAATGCAGGACGCAAGGCAGAGGAGGTACGGTTCAAAATGTGATTTATTTAACAAACCAAAAGCGAGCACACTTGCATACCGAGTGGCTGAGTCCATAAAAAGCCAAATGAGAAACGAAACCGTAATCCAAAACACCGGACAAGACTGAATCCACAACTGACGGGGAGTAACACCAACAATGACCAGACAAAGACTGAAGAGAAACACCAAACATATATACACCAGGGACTAACGAGCAGGGCGGGAGTAACACAGGTTACAGACATGAGACTAACGAGACACAGGCAGAGAGAGAGCAGGGGAAAACAGAGAGACTGACATGCAGAGGGATACTGGGGTAACAGACACAATATAGGTTACTGAACACTAAACACAGGCCATATCACCAGAAGTAACACATCAGAAATAAACAACTCAGACACGAGCAGACTAAACTAGAATAATGCAGACAAGGAACCTGAAGTAAACACCAAAACATGAACCAAGGCACAGAACTGGGAACAAAGACGAAGAACTAAAACGCAGGAACAAGAGCTAAGATAAGAGACAAGACATAAACTACTAAGGACAAGGAACGAGAGAAACAGACAAATAGAAGGAGACATGAAAACAATGGCAAAAACTCAGAAAACCCACAGGAAAAAATGGAACTCATAACAAGCGATCCACAAATACACAGATTTGACACTTTAACACAGAATATGTATGCATGTCTTGAAACAGTGAATTGAAAATACAACCCACTACTCATAGTATTCAGTCACGTGACATGCGCGGTGACCTGAAAGGCAAAACAACAGACCAAGATAGCGGCTCACACTGCGACTCCTCCGTAGAGACCACAATATCACCTTTCAACTTAAGAAAAAGGAAGGGGGACACATTAGCATTAATTTGGCGTCGTGTTTCTGGCCACCTGATGAATAATTCCCATATTCACTTCCCTTTCAGCTTTGTTTTGGTCTAAACCATACTATGGTTTGCAGCTAGTCATGCCACGTCTGTCTTCTGTTTGGTTATGGGCAGTATACAGTGGGCTTATCATAGGTTGTTTGCTTAATACAGCTGCCTGGGTTTATGAGAGCAAAGTTTGCTTGACAATGAAAACAATTTTTCACAATGTCAATATATAAAAAAGTAGAGCCAGAGTCTGATGTGATTTTTTTTATTTTTTATTTTCAGGATGCACCGCAGGAAATGTGTTTATTATACTGTGTGTTGATATGTTGCAGATATATTTCCCCTATGTCCTCAATACTGTGTACTGTAGATGATACTGTGTCATCTTTTAGTATAATGTGGAGGGGTTGTAATTTCTCTACCTGCCTCCTCTCTCCTATGTCTATCCTGCCAATACCCATTTACCTCCTTTCAACTTATCCTCCTATTTCCTTTCTTCCTGGACATCTGACCCCCTAAAATTATTTTACTTTATCTCCTTTTTCACGTTCCATCTCTCTATTCTCTTCTTTCCTCTTCTCTTCCTCTCACCCATCTTCTTACATTCTCTAATAACATCCTTCTCCTCTAATGTCACTCTTTCTGCATCATATTCCAATCTTCTAATTGGCCCCTCCACATTATCCCCCTGGCTCTCCTTTTACCTCTTCTCCATCTTTTGCTTAACTCCTCCTCTTCCATCTTTTTTATTCTTCATACTACAATCTTCTCCTCCCTCTTTCTCTACAGGAGCCATACCTCCGCTCAGTTTGCGAGTGCTGTAGTTACCGATTAAACCCTGACAACCCAGTCCGTTTCCTCAGCCTGCAATGTGAGAGTGGAGAGAGTGAGCCAGTCGTTCTGCCCGTCATAAACAGCTGCGAATGCACCAGCTGCCAAGGTGGGGAATAATGAATGTGGCAGAGTGGATTTGCATATGTATCTCTCATGTCAGTGAAGCTTTTAAATATATGTAAAAAATATTTGCATGGGACGTTTGCATGTTTATACACTCCAGGTTCCCATCAGACATAGAAGACTGGTATGGAAGTGCTAGGCATGTTCCAAACAGGTAAAGTCAGGGAGTTTGATTAAAAAAACATACATACATACATACATACTGTACATTCAGTACTGTGCATACATCTGCATACATCAGGTGTGGAAAAAAAAATGCTGTAAAGTAAAAATGCTTTAAAAAATAGACATGTTAATAAATTTTATTCATCATTTTACAAAATGCAAAGTCAATGAACCAAAACAAAAATTAACTGAAGTCAATATTTGGTATGACCAACCTTTGTCTTTAAAACAGCATTAAATCTTCTAGGAACACTTGCACAAAGTTTTTGACCACCAAAGGGTGGTCACACCAAATATTGATTTGATTTAGATTTTTCAGATCTTCTGTTCACCGTCTTAGAAATTTGTTAATTGATAAATATAATCCATTAACATGTCTATTTTGAAAGCATTCTTACTGGACAGCAGTTTTCCACTCATGCCTATAACTTCTCCACGTATCGAGAGGCGTATTGCATTTTATCGATCTGTTCTTCAAATGTGTTTTTACTTTGGAATATTTGGCAACATGACTAAAGATTCATAACCATGATCAGCACGTTTTGCCATTTGGACCACACCCCAATCAGTGATGTCACATCAGATGTTAAAAAGACTGAAAAGACTGTGGTCATTTGAGTCAGTGTACTGGGCGGTATGTATCGCCAATGGTGTGAAAACCCACTGAAATGAAGTGCAGGTGGCACGTCCATATAGTATGTTACATTAGCTCAGTTGTTCACACACCTCCATAGTCCTATAAGATGCAACATCCCTTAATCAACACCACCTGGAATGTTCCAATGTGTTCATTTGTAGGGATTTTACATTTTAAGTTATTTAATAATATTACGGGGTGGTGATGGTGCAGTGGATAAGATACTATCTTTGGTGTGAGAGATGCAGGTTCAGTTCCCCACTGTGACACATCCACCAATGATGTGTGGAGGTACGTTAGGTCTGTGAGTGTGAAGAGAACTGAAGGAGGTAGATTCAATAAGTGAGTGACACTTAAATAAGGTGGAGACTGAATTATATATTAAAACGATGAAATAACATATAACATAGTAAAAACATGCCCCTAAAACTGATCTCCCACCCACCCCCGCTCCCCACAACCAACTTAGCAGAAAATACTGATATATATTTTATACCTGAGTTCTGCCTAAACAGTTGCAGGTAATGTGGCAGATGTAGCATAACCAATTGTGTCTCAAAGTGAAGTGGAATAGATATCATTGCCACCCGGCTCAAACTGGCACCATGCTGGTAGTTTTTGAAACAAACCCATGAGAAATGCCAGCTGTAACATCACTGATCGAATGTGGCCAGTGTTGCAACCAGTTTGAAAGTTTTACCCCATATAAGGCAGCTCAGTAAGTGGCTGTTACATTCAACTGTCATGTCTGTCTCTTCCACTTCTCTCTCAGCACAATTTCTCAGTCACTTTCTATTAACGCTAGGCCGACACACACGCGGCCAACTGACATACATCATTTACACAGATTCACACACACACTCTAATCTTAGTGAAACATATGTTTGCCCTTGCCTACCATGAATAATTCAATCAAGGATCCCACCTCTGAAGTAATTATGTGGTAATCCATTCATCAACATGGATAATTGCCTTGGTTAACTGGATGTAGCCACATACGACACAAAACACCCCCAACTCTTATTTCCCCCCAGCACTACACTTGCGGACATCATGTCTGACAGATTTGGTCATTTACAGCAATCAATCTTTGATAGTGTGTTGTCGCTCTCACACACACTTATCAACTGCCACTACAGGTGGTCATCTGGTGCTCTCTCTTCTGACATACACACACTTATTAAAGACACAAGACTTGACATGACATACATGGATACAGTTTTACACTGCTGTTGGGATTTTGTTATTTATATACTTTGGTTCATGCATTTCACATTATAAATGCATTTCATATAATTTGCTGTACATTTGCAGTAGATTTAATGTAATAGATTTTTTAAGACAGTTATATGGAAACGCAGATATCCCTGAATATATCAAGTCATGCTGTTCAAACACATGCTATTCTGAATGAAGATAAAATGCTTTACAGACACTCAATCTTTTATCCTGCAGAGGAAGCATTTTACTTGGTTGTTTGATGCATGTGTTACTGTATTACAGAATATAACAGTGCAGTTATGATTCCATTAGTCTCACTGTTCTCACTGTTCCTCTTCTTCACAGGAGGTGACCTGTCCAGACGCTGAGCAAGTATGTTGAGTGTGTGTCTGTGTGTGTGTCTGTGTCTGAGTGTGAGAGAGAGATAGTGTGAGTGTGTACACACACTGGAGAGATCAAGAGCAGGATGAGTATGAACACCAAGCCAAATGAGAGTGCCACAGTGATGGATCATCATTTTGCATGGATGGAAGATACCCTGTTGATTTACACATTGCTCTGTAGTCCTTAGTCATCATATGACTGGATGCCACTATTGCTCATAGAGTCCTGTTCTGAAACTTTGTTTATTCTTCAGCCTGTACAGCCTGTTTTCTACTGTATATGTATAGTAATATTAAGGGACATATGATTCAATCCAAGTAAGACCTATTATACATTAAAAAATGTTTCATTTATATGCTTTAAGAAAATGTCTGTGTACCAGCAGTCTTCTGTAAGTTGGAGTTTACTGTAACTGGGTAGATATTCTTACATGTTGCAGTTTACAGTACAGTTCTAATGGACTGATCAATAAACATTTTCTACACAAGGAGAATACTGTCAGCTGTCTGTCTTTTAAAGAATCTTTTTATTATCAATTGTTTTAAAAATGTTCTGCCTTTTTTCCATCACATCTCTTTGAACAGCATCATATGCAGTAATCAGCAGAATGTGGCAAAACTCCCGGTCCCTCCCATTTCCCTTATTTTCTCCTTCGTCTATTAAATTCAATTGATTTAAAATTGAAAAATAAATAATCAACATTATTGACTTTTATAAAACAAAAGAGCCCATCTTCAACCCCTTGTAAGGTGTACCATTATATTGATATTTAGTCATGAACCAACGTGTCATTAAATGGTTCTAGATTTCCTCATAAACAATCAACACGATGTGTCTGCCAACTGTGTGTGGATTATCACTTTCCAGTTCAAAGCAATAAGTAGCCTTGCTTTGTAATGTGCACATATCTATGAACTTATAAACTCTCTAATTTAGGATTGGGAGGGTATACAGGTTAAGTGAAAGGAAAACACATGAGGGACCTTCTAAGGGAGTATAATAAAAAAAATCCAAGATCATATTAACCTTCCAAAACTCCTTCCTTTATATTAACATGCAAGACAAATATGAGGAATATTTTATTAAATAGGAGTTACATTACATCATCCAGTTGTACCGAAGCAACTTAGTATTAATTGTTTGTGTCAGGTTTTAGTAGTACCTGATATAAGCCAGTTTCAAATAAATGTGCACTTATGATACATTTTTCCAAAGATGAAAATGGGGGTATTTCCTACGATTTATCCTTTGTGGAACGAATAATGGTTCTCTGGAAATGTTATACTGTTGTATGACGTGATATTTCTGATGACAGAGTTTAATTTGCTGCTGAACAGTTTATTCATTATAAAAATATGTAGCTTTTAACTGGTGTGTCAAAGTGTTGACTGGAGCCTTTTCACTTCCTCTATTCAGACATTAAGACATCCTTAAGCAACTACAGTCAGCTTCCTATATGTGTCTATCTTTGTGTGTGTGTGTACATTATTGTGAGTACTGTAACATACAGAACGAGTGACAGACTGGGATCTGTCTCATCTGTGACAAGAAACTGTCTGCCCTTTTCTTTTCCTCCTTCCCCTCTCCTCTTACCATTCTAGTCTCCTATATCCTTTCCTCCTTTCTCCCCTCCTCCCTCACTCTTTTCCTGACTAAATAAGGGTGTTGAGAGGGGAAGGCTGGCCAGTGTACCTCCTCTAGCACTCAGCTGCTGTAGTAAACGATGCTGGATGTAATAAGAGTAAGAACTGATGCATTTTTAATTCCCACCAAAATGTCACATTTTGATGTATAGCTCCTCAGGTCTCATCTAACTGCAAGGCTGCCATTCATCATGTCAAACCAAACATTGAACGCTGGAAAAGGAATGCATTAATGCTGATATGCAGGTCATTTTGATAAATGCATCCAGCAGGCAACAGTGCTGCTTCAGCCCTGTATCTGACAGAACTAAAAAACAAGGAAATTTTACACAGTCAAGGCCAATTACTTCCCTGAGATAGATAAGAAGAGGCTCTGAGAAAGCATGAAGTTGCCATGCAGAGTGAGAGCTTTGTCCACTGTTGCATTCAAGTGAGGTCAGAAAAAAACACATACGTAATAACTGTCATGTAACAATCGAACAGGAATAGGCAGTATTTCTGATAAATACATGATTACATACAAAATAGAATTTTGTCATTTGTATTTGATAGGGTTGAGAAAAATCATATTTTGTACTTTGTTTTTTTTTATTTTAAAGTTTAAAATACTGTAAAATAGTTTGTGAGATATCTATCTGATGACATCATAAAAATGCTGCCTCTGATTGGTACCTCATTTTCCCAGACTTGTTGAAGTAGCAAAACGTTTTTTCCAACGGAAACGATGGTGCCTTGAACACCCCATTGTGTATGCAAGCGAAAAAATTACAAACCAGTGCAAAACGTTTTGAGATTGAACTCCCCAGAACAATACATTTATCCAGACCAGAATAAGGTCAAGGGGAGAAAGGTGTAAGTGGCCAGCTTTCCATAGATTTTTAGCATAAATTCTTACAATTCTTAACAGTTCCTCTTACAGTTTGGTGATGGTAGTAATAGCCTAGACTAAATCGTTTACCAACTTACATAGGCTAATGTGTAACTAACTATTTGACCTGAGTAGCAGCCCTCACAGTTGACCTTAGCTTGCTACTTTCAGCCTATGTTTAGTTTCCATTGGTTTTGCAGGAAAAAGTGTTTCAGAGTAGCTGTACAACATTACTTTATAATGCCTTGAGATGTTAAATGCGCACACCTGTGGGGGCGAGTTCAGTGTGGACAAAACGTAGCAAAACGTTTTTTTCACGTTGGAAACCCCTGGTGGTCGACCCATCCGCCACCGGTGTTTGTTGTAGCTTAGAACTTATAGTCAGGTTTAGAGATATGAGCATGAAGAGGCCGTAGCCTATGAGGAGAAATGTGCATGAGAGAAAGGCAGACAAATAATAGAAGAGTTAAGGCAGTCACACTGGTGGAAGCGGAGGCTACTGCACTTCTGAAATGCTCACATTGTTTGTAGCAGCATTATTGAAAAATATAACTGATCCCTATCTTACATGCAGTTAAGTCAAAAGACTGTCGACACAAGACACTATTCTACAAATGAGTCATTAAACTGTTAGTGAAACGTTAAACTGTTGGTTACTTTATTTCTAACCTAAGAGATCACAGGAGTATGTGAGTAGGCTATTTGATCTGTTAACTGGTTGCCTGTCAGATTTATGCATCATTTGCCAGAGCTGTTGAAAAGCTGTTGCTTTCAAACATTGTCCACTTAATCAACTGAGTCAGTGCACTGAAGAAGGGATAGGCCGATAGATAGAAGGTTTGTGAAGTGATTTCATGGATCATTGGAAAAAGTATTTTTGAATTTTCTTTGAAACAATACAGTAGGCCTAGTTTATTTTGATACATGGCGTGGCTGCTGAATTTTGTAGTTTATTTTGATAGCTATTCTTAAAATTAAGATATTTTAAGTTGGTCAAAGGCTGTAATAGGCTATGTAGGTTGTAGTGTGACAAATAAATCTACCTTGTTGTACCTTTTGGACTACCTTGTATTTGGTATCTTATTTTAATATACATTTTGATGTATCTTTGCCTGTTAGTGGATTCAAATGTGTCTACTATCTAGAACAATGGTTGCTTGATTTCCTGAATAAAAATGAAAACGTTCCACACGCTGTCTCGCTTACTATTGATATGACTGTCCCTCATAATTTATGCATAAAGATAGCATAGAAAACGTAATGGACAAATCATCCATTTGTGCCTCAGCACAATATCCCACAGTTGTTGAAGGCATCATCCCCAGCATGACGAAAGGGGGGAACCCCGACGGTGTGACGTACATGAGCTGCCTGAGTGGTGAATCCCCATCCAAGCCTGAAACACAATAAAGCAGCTTCACAACCGGATTTCCTCGGCATTTATGACATTCACCGATTCAGGAAAAGCAGGAGAGACGCTTCACTTCAGTGCGGGTAAATGTTCTTTTGTGGGGCATGGAAATAGGCTAGTTTTAGTTTTAGTTACGTAGGCCTAATTTAATCACAATAGTTTTCCCATACAGGTAAAACAAGACAGTTGTTCGATAGCAAGCCGAACAACTGTCAAGACCAGCCGTTTGTCTGCTGCCTTTCAGAGCAGGTGTGCCTGCGGTGGTCTTACATGGGGGTGTCAATTTTAGTCCATTTCCCCCCCAACTGTAACTAATGCTCCATTTTTGTCAGATAAATAATATCTGTATTATTGATACTCGTACCAATTTTGTAAGAACAAGACACCCCAGGCTCTACTTTAGGAACCTCAGGTGTAGGCTAATATTGTATGCGGAAAATTTGGGTAGGCTAACTGATAGCAGTAACGTACTTCTTTATCTATTATGCTGAAGTGAGCACTCCTGATGAGCAAAGGGTTAAAAGAGGCGCAGCTACACGCCGGTAGAGTGAGCATAGCGAACAGCGAGGAGGAGGAGAGATACAGAGAACACCTCCATAAAAACCGATCTACGATTTAAGGTGCGGATCTGTGCCCTGCTGGGTATTTAAAAAAAACAGCTTTGTGTTCCCTCTCTCCACAGTTAAACACACAGAGAGTCAGAGGCAGAGAGTGGAGATGGAATGAAAAACAAATAAAACGCGCAGCTGAGCGCCCCAAATATGGCTCCTACGACGCTCGTCGGAAAGCTCGCCCAGTCCGCTTCACAGGAACGGGCTGTAGTGCACGATGAGAGGTCTACTGTGCTCCACCGAGTGTGAGACCAGGAAGAAATATCACCTGACAGGCGGCCCTCCCCTCGGGGGACAGAAACAGACACCATTGCTCCTCTCAACCTGGAAACTGGAGGCTGGAAACGGCTCAGTTCTACCGTGCGTACAGTGCGCCTCCTGTCCAGAGCTGGCTTCTCCTCACTTTCTCCAGGAGATCCATTACAAACCTTTCGTCTTTCTGGCCAAGTTGGGCAAACTTGGGCCCCCGGATTCCTGTCAGTGAACCTGTCAGTGTTGAGTCCTCATGCAGGGAGCCCAGTAAGCAACGTGCACTCGACTGCGGGGACTGGAAACGCATCTTCGGTGTGATATAATTAAAACTCTTGCAAAGTCTTTTTAAGTCTAGGGGCCACCACAGCGAAGATGCCGGTCCGGAGGGGCCATGTGGCTCCGCAGAACACCTTCCTGGACACCATCATCAGGAAATTCGATAGTCAATGTAAGATCATTGTTTTCTTACCTTCTGTGGGATAATTTACATAATCTTGCAGCCTCGCAGCTCACTTTAATAATTTGTTGACACAAAAGCTGGTGTGGCATTCTACTGATGTAAGCTTTCAGTTAACATTTTGTTTTCCAGAATAAGCTTTAATAATTATGTTTGTAGATGCATCGTTAATAACTTTAGCAAGTCACATAGTGGTACAGTGATGTTGTAGCAGCTGAGGTGAAAATGTGTGATAATTAAAAAAATATGATCAGAAATCAGGTAAAACCCCCGAACAAACATGACTGTTCACACCATAATAACTTGCATCAGTGTGATACTTAGATTGACTTTAGAGGGATTTATTTTTCACCACATTCATTTCTGATGACAACATGAACAGCTTGTGCAGATTTATTTTTATTTGGGGAAATCTGTTATTGGGACCCTCCAGTTGCAACAGTCATTCAGGAATGATTAGGGCACAAATGTATTATATTCAGAGGTCACAAAGCAATCCAGTATGGTACTTAAGTTTGTTTTTGCAGATCCTCTCATGCTTTTGTCACCTTAAGTGTCCGATGCTGCTGCTGTCTTTACTGATTTTGTCAGAAAAATCAATCTGCAAAAAAAGACACACTTAGATGCTTTTGGAGGCATGGGATCTATTATCTTTAGCTCAGCTGGTGTGGATATGTAAAATAGTTTTAATACAGGAGCTATTTGACACCTCCATAAATCTATCCCTGTACAAATGCTTTTCAGACATAAAACTATTATATACATGTTTGCCTTGGAAGAAATATCAGTATCCTATCAATTAATCGGCAGCAAGTTATAAGATAAAAAAACAAACATATCTGAGCTACTAAATTTTTCATAGAATCCAGGGGCATGAAATCTGAAGCTGCTTATATTTCAACATACACAGCCTTCATCCATCCTCTCTTCCCTGTGGCGCGTTATATTTGATGCAAATCATTCATGTTTTTTTCCATCAGTGAACTGGCGACCAGACTTCAAACACACATCTGCAGCCACAACAGCACATTTCCTGCAGGAAATCCATCTCAATGGCTGATGTAGAAGATGAGGAATGATGATAGTTGTGGTGTGAGGAAAAGTGGAGGATGTGTATTGTTAACATTTTGGAAGTTCAGATTTTGACCTTCAAGCTGATGCAAGAGACATTTATTGTAGGGTTAAATGCAGTTTTTAAGGAATCTTAATGTCAAGTACTCCCCTCAGGAGCAGATAAGAGCTGAAGTGAAGTATACCGGGGAAGACACACAACTTTTAACCACACTGTAACTCTTGAGGTACTGCTGGCTTAATGCTGAAAAATATGCTGCTTGACTTCCACCATTCACCATATGCTATTGGGTGGAGCATTTTACAAGGCTGCTTTGTAACAGCAAGTGATATCTCGCTGCATTTGTAACAACCAAGAGTCCCGGCAGAAGGAGAGCTTCAAACGAGGTGTTATAAGGGTGGATTTGGTGCCAAAACACTGTTTCCTGACACAGAGGTGCTGAAAAGCGACTCCACACAAGTGAAATCAAGTTGAATAATTGCATTGGAATTGGGTAATTAACATTAATCCCACAGTACTTATTTCACCATCCTAATAAGTGTGGATATCTCTGCAAATGTGATCACAATCTACTGCTAACTAGAATCTTTAATCTTTCTTTCCAGCAAATTAGCATTGTTTCAGCATGTGGCAGGAAGCTTCTGTAGGTGATGGTCATTATTTATAAGAGGAGCACTTTAGTGTTACTGGGGACCATAACCCACAGCTGAAAGGCAGATAACCTCACATCATGGTAAATGGACTGTACTAGACAGTGCTGCCTAGTTTTAAGACGAGTACATCTAGTCTTCTGACCACTCAAAACGTTTTACACTATATGTCACATTCATCCCAGGTGCCAGCAGCTCATTAGAATCATCCCCCTCCCACCACACACACACACACACTGATGGCACAGCCTGTGGAAGCAATTTGGGGGTTCAGCATCTATCCCAATGACACTTCGACATGCAGACAATTTCAACGTGTGGGCTGGGGGAAGCCGGGGATCAAACCTCCGATGTTCCGATTAGTGGGGCACACTATCTCTAAGCTGCCCCATATCAGTGCTTTCCAACTGTTATCCCAGTGACTCTGCTGCTGCTCAGCTGCTTCTGATATTTAGGTAATTTCTTTGTACAAAATCAAAACAAACCTTTTAATAGATATTCCAAGCCACAGTCAAAGTTATGCTCCATTTCTGGGGACCTCCCTTCTCACTATTCTAAATGGACCAACATTCCGTAGGCCACAATCAACTCTAGCGACTTATAATTGCTATATATGTCAGAGGTCGCACACCTCCGGAGCAAGTAGGGGTCAAGTGTCTTTCTCAGGGACACATTGGTGTCTCACAGTGAGTCTCTCACACCAAAGACAGGGTGTTGCCATGGTACACTGTACCAGTGTAGAATGTAAAGTTAGGCACCACAAGACCTCTATCTTATCTGGACAGTGGTAGATTCTATTTACATCTCGACAGCAATCAATAATTCAAATGCTGCAACACTAAAACTGGGATCTGTGGCTGTCACTGGACATTTGGTCCGAAAGAAATGACTGGCTGGCCTAACTGCCTGTCTACCTGCCCACCTGTGTGCACTCTGCCTGTGTATGAAAATCTGTTTCAGGGAAATGGCTTTGGAGGGAGGCCTGAGGTGAAGTGGTGGGATTTTTTTTCGGTTGAATACAATATCTACCTGTCTGTTGTTGTAGGGGGGACCCCGAATTGTCGAAGATTTGTGGTTTTGATAGGAGGAGCCTGATTTGACTACCAATCTCACCGTCGAATTCTCACAGAGGCAGTATGAAACGAGGATCATGCCCTTTTGGCTATGTGGTGGTGCTTAATGTCTGATTTTTACATAGAACTACCGGTTTTTGTGGTCCGCGGACTAGAAAGACGTACAGTACAGTCCATTTAACAAGTTAACAAAATCCTCTGCTTCTTTTGTGGTTATTGAACACATGAAAATCCAACCAGTTTTTGATTTTCAGAGTAATTTGGTAAAGCATAAGGTGTTCAACTCCTCTTTCTCAAGCGGTGTCCATCGCTATCCCTCATTCCCTTGACCCCAGGCCCACACAAAGGTTGCAATAACTGTTCCTATCCTTCATGTCCATTATTTTAAATTCCAACATCTGCAGCACAAGCAACAACCTTTGAATTATATATAAATATTATTATGTTGTAATATCAAATCAATCCTGAGAGCAAGGCTTGCTCAGCCTGGATGGCATTTAATTTGTTGTTCGTGCATTTGCCCATATCGTGAAGCTATGCTAGCTGCTGCTCTAGATAGCCGTCAATGTACGTTGTTTAGAGTGCATGGATTGCATCAAAGTCAGTAGCACAAATCCCCAACAAATGCTAACTTTGTGGGGGCACCGCACAAACTGGATTTAGTCAGTCTACCCACGTATGACAATGATCGTGATGACATGGTGTCTAATAGCTGTAGGTAATGGACTGGTCAACCATGGAGGATACCTGATGCGTAGGATCAGGATATGATTAAGGAGAAAACTGTGGGCGTATGTATCTATTTGTTTTCACATAACAAATTTAGGAAAAAGGCAGCACACCAGTGGTTAAGAAAATCACTTTAGTGAATTTTTATTTTGAGCATAGACTATGCAGTGGGCTCACTGCTATCGTATAGTCTGATTGTTTAGCTAGTCCATTAGCTGAAAATATATAAATATAAACATGATAAAGACATGAGATGATTCTTTATATATTTTATTATATTTTACAAACGTGGCACCTTTTTTCTGTAATTGCACAGACAAGCACCTCCAGGTACCTCCATGTCGAAATGTCCTTGGGCAAGATACTGAACCCCGAATTGCCCTTGGCGACTGTTCCGCCAGTGAATGAATGTGTGTGAATGTTAGTTTCTGTTTGTGAATGTGACTAGACTAGACTAGAAAGGCGCTATACAAATACGGAGCATTTACAGGTGTTGAGGACCTCTTGTGGGCCCTTTTTTCACACTTTTATTGTTACGAAAAAGTGCAACGGGGTACTAAGTGGGTGGAATCAGCAACATTACAAAATCCAGATGCCAGAACATTGCAGAGTGGTCAAAACTCAAAGTATTTACAAATTAATCAACCAGGAATGTGCGATTGCATATGACGTGACGGGAGTATCAATTACCGTAAAACTTTAATTAATAACCAAGTCCCAAATAACCGCCTACCTCGTTTACTGGCTTGATGTGGGAACACAGGTCTCCATTAGATGCCTGGTCTGGTTTTTATAGATGTTCTTTGGATGTATAAAACCTCTTAAACCCTGTGGGGTTGCCCACTTTAGCTGCTTCTAAGCTGCTTAGATTGTGCATACAAATATTTAAGCAATAGCTCACGACAGGCCGTGGTATACGCTTATTATATCACAGTTAAGGGCCATTGTTCGGCCCGACGCGGTTACCTAGTATGGCAAAAAGAAAGTATGCTAACAGACGCACTACAATTTGACTTTATTTCATCAATAAATGTTTCTTTATGAATACAAAAAGTATTCCCACCAGGCTGCCGGTAGGCTACATAGCACATGAAGGTTGCCTAAGCAACATACATCAAAGGCTAGAATTATTAGAACTATTTATTTATATCTGTTTGCACGTTGCTGTTTGTTGTCCAGTCACTAAAAAACTGAGGCAGTAGATAACTTTGGTTACTTAAACTTCAGATTCAGATTCAGATTCACTTTATTAGCCATTTGCAGTATAAAACCACATTGGAAAAGAAGCTCAAAGTGCAATGTCACCACATAAAAAGACATAACATAAAACAGACAAGCAAATGCCACATAAAACTCAGTAATAAAACACTGTACAATAAAATCCATACATAAGATATAAAGTGCCTAATTTAAAGTGCTTTGTTTAAAGTGATCACAGCTTGGGGAAAGAAATTGTTGAAATAGTGA